TCGCTTAACGCGCGTATTTCGCATGCCATCGGATTTGCAAACTTCACTAAAACTACAAACCACCATATTATGAAACGACAAGAACAATTGCAATTCTTTTCTACCAAAGTTTCCCAAACGTTCTTCGTGTTCCCTCTTCCCGTCGTTGCTCTATCTTCTCCCTCTATCTTTCTCCGTGGAACGAAGTTTAGGAAACCCTGGTAAAATTATTGTACGTACATTTCGAACGAGCGCAAAACCGAGCGACTTACTTATATTGTCGTCATCGGTTTTTTCCTTCTTTTGTCTCTGAAGAATAATTTGTCTTTCCTGAAGAGCTCTACTGGGGATCAAGCCAGCTCTCATATTTCGATCACCTTCGCGTCTGGCCTGCCACCTATTTCGAAACGAATGTAATAATTGCAGCGTGATTCCGTGTGCGTAAAACAACGAATCGAGCGGTTGGATTCGTACCAATAAGCGTCATCCTGGCTGACGATGTGAAGAACGTCACCCTTGGTGAAGTCGAGTCCAGCCTCTTTGCAAGGTATGTACGGATCGTCCGAAGCCTTGTACGAAAAATGCGCCCTGACGCGTACCTGTCGCGCAACCACAATTTATTATCGGATCGTTGTTTCAGTGATTCCCTTAAACCTAGCCGAACCGGGCGTGCTCTTTTCTCAAGAACCACGAAAAACTACTCTTTCGTTCCGGCGATGTTTCTACAACAGACTCCGATTCTTCGAACGTACCTTACTTTCTCGAATACCTCCTTTGCTGTCCGCCGGAACAATTTTAAACGTGATCGTGCCCTCTGAATTTTGCTGAAAGAGACGATACCCGGCTGTTATCTCCGCAAGCCTGCGTTTTGCTCGCATTTATTTGCAATCTATGACTAAAGTTTCAATCGTAAATCAGCAGAAAGAAAAGAGGAAATGATTTCGACAATGTATGTTCCTCGAGGGAGATCGGCTTACAAAATAATGCTTCAAAGGCGAAAAAAGTCTGTGCGACCTACCAGTATCTTGAGAACACAGTTCGGAGTTTTCCCCTCGACGCTGATGCCGTTGACCTCGCAAACCTCGTCGCCGACGTGAATGAGACCGGATCTATCGGCTGCTCCGCCGTGCATTATTCGCGCTATCACGATCTTGCCGGTGTCTTCGCACGTTTTTATGGTCGCCCCCTATCGTCAATGCGTAAACTAGTACTTTGATTGCGTTACGGGACGCGCGGGCTGGGGTGCGCCTTCGTTCGTTGTAAAAGATGAGTAAAACAAAGAGCCGAGGAAAAGAAGAAGAAGAAGAAGAAAAAGAAGAAGAAGAAGAAGAAGATGAAGAAGAAGAAGAGGAAGAAGAAGAAGAAGAAGAAGAAGAAGGAAATGATAGAAAGAAGGAGGATCGTTCGCGAAGGCGCAATCGCGCGCCCGATCGAAGTCGCTGTGCGACGCTATTCGTCGATCGTACGCGTAGATATGGAGCTTGTATGAGACACGACCGCGTTCAAAGTGATTGATACGAACACACTTCTTGGCTGAAAATCTCTCGAGTGGCGTAAATGAATAAACGCGTCACGAAATGTCGCGTGGTTATCGGTTAACCCTCCCAGCGCGGAGAAATGATTCTTTCGAATGATCGGGTTTCGAATTGATTCGCGGGGTACGCGTTAACTCGAGAGATTCTCGACACTCGTATGAGGACATGCGGGACAATAACATAGGATACAATAGTTACGACGGAGAAATCGTTTTATTTACAAGCAAAAATCACAAACAGAAAAACACAAACTAACGGGATTCGAATGGACGCAAGGTCTGTGAATTCAAGATGGAAGCGAGGTTAATATATTAATGAATTAATAAATTAATACATTAATAAATGAATAAATGAATCTATTAATAAATGAATAAATGAATGAATTAGCGTGGAGGGTGAAGAAAACAGCGATCTATTTACAGCGCGGCTCGTTCACGCTCTATTCTCATTCCATCAAGTATAGAGGTGCGTGATCGTATAGCGGAAACTAAAAAAGATGTTCCGAGGTCTGATGGATGCCCGATCTAACTGAAATAAAAGGAACCGAACAGAAAATCACACTACAAAATCGTACTTGCGCATCGACGTGATACGCATGAAACGTGTACAGGCCTGTGTAGATGTTTCGGCTTGAAGGCGACTTACCACGATCGGTTCACCGCCAGTGCCACACTTCGAAGCAAGTTTGACGATGAAAGAAACACGTGATTACTTGAGAAGTGTTCTGAGGATCGCTCGCGCGATACTTCAGGATATATATTCGATACTACGAGATACTGTGTTACGGGGCCACGACGCGTCTACGCCGGTACAAAAGGATTAATCAGGATCAACTCCCATGCAAATCGACGTAATTTACGGCAAAAACGTTTACGCTATCGCTCGTTAGTTCTCTAGTCTCTTTACCGTGTTAATCGAGCGACAAATCTCATAGACACTCTAAATAAGTACCGAACGTGCGGCCTATCTGACGTACCAAGGGCTCGTTCGACTTCACCAACTGCACGATCTTCACCGTTTCCTCGTCCTCGTCCACTTCCAGAGGGATTTCCGGCAAACGGGGATAATAGTCCTTCTGAGCGACCGCGTCGTGCGCGCACAAAAGGCCCTGCAACAAACGTTTTCGTTCGAATCGCGTCTCTCCCAATGCTTTCAACCGATTATCCGTCCACGAAGTAGTATCGGGACACTTCGAAACGCGTTGCTACCTGTATGTGCGGTTTTTGGAGAAGATGGAACAACTCTTTGCAGTCTTTCGAGATGTGCGTTTTCGTCGACAGCAAGTCCAAAACCTCGATGTCGATGTCCATGGAATTCGAGAGAACCGGGAAGAACTTGTCGTCCTTGACATTGTTCACAATTTTATTGTGGACATTCACCAATGCGTTCAATTCCTTCGACTGCAGCAAATCGCTCAGGAAGCCGAACTCCTCGTCCGTGCAGCTGGGTATTTCGTTTTTGTTCTCTTGAAGAGAATTCAAGAGCTTGGACAACGCTGGAAACCAGACAACGAAATTACCGTGAAAGACGTGTTCCTCGCTGTTGGAATTATTAGAGGAGAGAGACGAGCAGGGTGAGGGAAGGGTTTTGTTACCGGAGTTGCGGCGCGAACGAACGAGCACAGCGCGTTGTTCGAGCACGACTCGGAAACGTCCGGTGCACGACACATTTACCTTCTGATCGATAAATTAATTTCCTGCGACCGCTCAAGCGATGCTTCTCCTTTTCCGTTCGTGAAAGAAATGAAAGGGCACGTCGTTCGGTTTCGTTGTCGGGCCGATTCGCATATTTAAGCGCGAATAAAATCGATCCGACGAAGATTTTACCGCAGTAAACGCGAATAGCGGTGAACTGATGCCGCTGCTGGATATATCATATATAAGAAAACAAGCAAAGGGTTAGCGTGAGAATCATCGAAACGCCAGAGCAAATGTAAACGACGCGCGTTAGTCGATCGATCGGTTGACCGGTTAACCCTGCGGGGGCAAGCGGAAACCCGCGAAAATAGGAAGACGCGCGGCTAACCGACCCGAACGACCGTCAGAATTCGTTTGGCTCGAATAATAAGCGAAAGAGCCGCGCGAAAAACCGCGAATCGGCAGCAGATAAAAATAGACCGCTCGCACCTGTCGTGCGCGGTGCGTTTCGGTTCGCGGAGGGTATCCCGTTCGATCGAACCGGTAAAAATCCACGCCTTCGACACCACGAGGAACCGCTATTTTTAAATTGGTGACGTCCGCACGCATCGCCGTCGCCGATATCCGTCGACGAAAACAAACGACGGCTCCGCCGGACGACGAGCCCCGTTAGAGAAGGCCGATGGAACGTTTTCCGCGGACAGGTGGTACGCAAAATTACTCACCGGGATCCCAATTCACGTTTTCCATGACGAGCGCCGCTGTCATAATTTCATTCCACCGCGACGACCAGCTCCGTTTCGGTTATTTCCCGGCGACTCCCGGATGAAGGTGAGAACGGGCAGCGCAGCGTCGAACGGGAGCGTAACACGCTGAGATATCGGGACGAGCGACAGAGGAAATTCAGGTCAGTCGCGATGCTTATTTCGAGCGGATTGCTGCTGGCCAGCGCCGCCGCGAATAACCCGGTAAAATAGTTTCTTGTTTCGCGTCCGCGGCTGGAATATCGTTATCATAGCGAGAATAATCCGTTACGTAAGCGACTGTCACTCGACACGGGGTAGTATGACGAGTGCGGCTAGATTCGTCTGCTCTCTCCGCATCGCGTCGAGATTCCTCTTCCCCTCCACGGTCGGCCGAACATCCTCGAATCACGAGCGCTTTGCTCGCGGCCGCCACGAACACACCCTCTCGACTGTTTCTCCGATACACGGTCCGGCACCCTGTTTACCCGATACTCGCGAACTCTTCAAGGATTTTCCACAATTTTTCGGTTTGCTCGCTCCACGCCATGCTACCCACCGAAGCCATCTTTAAAGGCGCCACTGCTTCCACCACTGCCGCCCGTACTTCTCCCTCTCTCCCTTCCACTCTGGCATCGCCACCCCTCGCCTTTCTTCCCTTTATTCGATACGTTGCTTCGGTCTATTTATTTCAATCCATACTTTCGTGTTTGCGGTTCAGCGTTCGCGTGCCCTGATCCCAATTTTTCCCTTTCCTCGCTCGGTGATTTTCGTTGTTTTTCGAGCTGCCCGACTGTCCCTCCCTCTCGTTCCGTTACCCCCGTTGGAACTGTGTGCATCGAACAAAGAGGGCTGACAGTAGAGAACGAGGAAGGGGAACGATCAACGCTTTTCATTCGTACGCGAAACAATTTCAACGTTTCCATGTTTTTGTAGGTGTATACTAGACGGGGTGGTAAACAATTTCGTGGTATAACTTTTGCCATTCCACATGAGGTTAGAACGGTACTTAGTTCATTTCAACGATCAGTATTACACACGTTCTGAGAGAATGAATTTTATACGCGTGTACGCGCGAGTACATAAGATTATTTAATACAAACATCACATATATAATAATTATCTCTATCAAAAGAAAACTGCAGAACGTCGCCCGATGTTGAATATAAATGAAAACCTGAATACCACCTAGACTATAATTCACAAGGAAGAAAATAATGTTGTTTCTTCGAACCGTCCAATCTATTTTCTCGTAATCACGACGTTTTGAATCCACGGTCGAGAAGAACGAGACAGACGATTTGAAATTACGCGGTCGCGATGCTCCATCGAGTTCCCGACGTCGCCTCCAGGCGGCGGCACCGTCGACTGTGTATACATGCAGTTGTCTGCACGAAACGTCTCGCCGCTAGGTTCCGAATGTTTTGTGAATTCTGTGTTGTTTTCCCGAGTGAAATTTTTGCTGGTAATCGTTACGAGGAACCTGTAATTTTCCCTTTGTTCAGTCTCGGTAAGATGATCGACTTCTTTTTACTTTCGCCGAACAACGCCACTCGAAATTTGACATGGCGTTGACACGCACGGTCTTCTGTCGGAATTCCGAAGAAAACTCGGAGTCCTCGTGGGCCGTTCGGTGCGTCGATTTCGAAGGCAACCAGGACCGTTTTGCGAAACGATGCTCCGTCAGCGGTTAAAGCTTGCCCGCGCTCCCGGTCGCGCGATAAACGTGCCTCGCTCGCCGAGATCGGCACACGCGTATATCTCGTGTTCCCGAGCCACAAGTGGTTGTGTACCGCGGGTCCCGTGCGAACTCGATCTTCCCGAATTCGACGACAGCCGATTAATTCTTAATTTCATCGCGACCGGCGATCATTCGCGAACGATTCACCGGCCACTTCGAGGTTCTCGCTTCGAAACGACGCGCGTCAAGCCTCGGGAACGAAGATGTTGTTTAGAATTAAGGGTTAGCAATTTCTATCGATCCACCCAGAAAGAATCAAAGTGTGCGGCGGGTAGGTGTCTCGAGGGTAACATTGTATTGGGCTGCAGCGGTGCTCTGCCCTGCTTAGCGGCTAATTTATTTATTTATAGGAGAACATTGTAAATCAAGTAACGCATACTTATTGTTGTGAATCGCCGCTTCGACGTCACGCAATATATGCAACC